ACAGTCAGAGAAACAGGACTACACTGGAAAACAGGCCAAGCTCCAACATCTAGAAACAAAGGTGTTGATGGCAGTTTGATGGATGTTAATTAAAGCCAGTTTAAATACTTTGGTCAATATAGTCTCTTTAGCTGGTTAAGCTCCACATTGTATAGATTTTTAGTTGGATGGTTTACTTCTGTTTTTCCTGTTTGGTCTATTTTTCCGAAACGTATAAAAACTGAGATTTTAGATCCATCTTTATCTTCCCTTTGAGGCGCCAGTTTTTCCTGGAGAGAATCAGTTCTGATAAAGTTACCACATGAACCCTAAAGCCAGCACCGCTATCTGTCTTTGCATGTGGAGGACATCATTCAGTGCTCTGATGTCAATAGTTAAGTTCTTCAAGGTCGAGTTTAATTCTGTGATCTTTTATAATCCTGTATGAGATTTCAGAAAGCACGGAACAGCCATCATTCACTATATATGTTGCTGTTGGTGCAGAAGCCTTTAATCTCATTTGCAGCATCATCAGTTACTATTAATGCTCTTGGTTTAGCAGCTGGTTCGTTATGAGGCTGTTTGGGAAAGAGCTGAATGTCGTCACAACTTTTTCTCTTGTCTGGAAACTGGCCTTTCTCTGTCAGGCTCAGAACAAAAGCACTAAATACATTTTTAATACAAAGACCTGGAATAAAAAACTTTGAACATAGCAATAAGTCAGGAAGACAAAATGACTATATTAGCAGTTACAGACTCAGTTGGTAAAACATTACAGGATCCTGAGAATATTAACAATACCTTCTGAGATTTCTAGAAATCTTTATACACTTTTTTTTAGATTTAGATTTATTTTGTCATTTTGTATAAACAAGTTTATACGAGAAGAAATTTCGTTTAAATCAGCTCTAGACAATTTCAATTGCAGCCTAGAAAACAGTAATAATACATAAAAAATAGTAATATAAACATATGACTATATTTACAGTTCTAACACAAATTTTTTTTAATAAATAAAATAACCCAT